CTTAAAATCAGCCCTATATCAGCCCTAAACCGAATCATTCGCACAGCTTCAGGGATAATGTCAGATTCTGTAAAGACAATACATCTCCGGTGACCACACACCATCTCAGCCCGTCTTTTTGCCGGTCGATTGGGGTAATGAGGTGACGGCTGATGGTGGCCTGTAAAGTTGTAATGAGGGCCGCGGCGTGAATAGGACAGAGGGCTGGAATGGGTGGGAGAGAACACGATGCTTAATGAGCGGGCCGGCGGGCTCAGCGGTAACCCCGTTGTATCGGCTCGGTCTGAGACAGAAGGGGTGACACAGGGGATCAGGAATTTCAGGGTGGGACAGCACAGGAGGGTCTGATGTTATTTAGGGAGGGAATGAATAAAAGCTGGGTTAGAAAGTAAATGGGGGTCCTGACCAGCCCCTGTGCTCTGCTCATTGTGGAGATGAAATTTATGGCTCAGGACTTCCTAAGCCAAGGACTCCCCACGTTGACTGGTTAAGTGCTGTGAAACAGTACGACAAAGGCTGGAGGCAAACAACACTCTGAGATGAGAGGCTGCAGGAGAGGGGACAGTGGAAGACAATGTGTGCGAATCCACGTTAGAGACCGGTGTTGGACTATAAAGTGACTAGTTGGATGCACATGCAACATGCTTCAGCTGAAATGTAAATGGACACATCATGTAAATAGATAACAGTGACATGTGTAGCACATATTGCACTTTAGCAAAATGGGTACGAGCAAATATGTGTCTAAAAAGTCGGGAAAAAAACAATTTTGTGGAGGAAGCTTGGCATCAAGCTCCTCCTCCGTTGGTTCTGTATACTTGATGATTCAGTGAATGATTGAAATCTGCAAGGACTTATGTCTGAATAAAATTCAACAATGGTTTTGGCTCTGTTTCTGTTTTTGTTATGTAAGTAAAAAAGTGCACACTGAAGTGTCTTGTTATTAAAAATAAGAGTCCATTCGTTTTCAATATCAGGAACTCAGAGTGTTTCATCAATGGCCAGATGAGAAGGTTTCTACGATACACAACTCAACAGTATGGTTAAAGGGGTTGTCTTTACAATATAAAAGGTTGTAATATGACCTCTGAGCAGCGCTACGTCTGCAGGGCACACTGGAGGCTACAGCGAGTCGCTACTGGAAAGGTGATGAGCCAAGCCAGGGCTAGCTGGGTAGCATGCTTACCTCAGTAGAAGAAAAGAAGTGACAGAAACTTAAGTTAGCACTGGCGTTGCTTTCCACCGCTGGAGGCAGCTCTTGGTGAGTAAAGGAATTAAGTTCGATGTTGAACTTGCAACATTCCTTCTAGACTGGTAAGTAAACAGATGCTAATGCTAATGTTAGCTATATAGCAATAGCAAAACAGACAAATAGGTCCTTCAAGGTTAGCCAGTTGATATGACACTGCAATGGTTAATGGTTCAGCCAAGAAGTCATTCTTCTTAGGACAGTCTCTTCTTGGGGAACTGTGCTTTGGCCACTTACCCCTGACAATAAGAAAAAACTAATATTCTTCAATTTATTTCAATTTGTTTGTTGACAGTTTGACCCACTGTCATGTAATGTCAAGCTTCACCAATTAGAGCTGGCTTAACTGTAGCAGTTGTATATAAAATCTGTCCACAGACATATAAACACTCCTAGTTCCCGCTGCAGTAGGTGTCTCCAGGACCACATTTTCCTATGATCTCACTCACACAGACTCACAAGGTGAAAATTGTTATAAGATTTTTTAAACCGTGTTAACTAAAGGGAACTTGGTGTCAGTTAGATTTTCAAATTAACTTGATGATGATTATTGTTTTATTTTCTTTTCTTACAGATGAACAAAATGTCGAGAATGTCAAGAATTTGAAAAAGGGAAAAGAACTTTGTTTGAAGTTTGGCATAAAACACGGCATCAGTCTCAGCTATGAGCTGCAGACAAGCCAGTTGTCTAAGAAGCACAACCTCAACCTTAAAACACATAAAATACAACATTAACAACTGATTCTGCTTGGATGAAAATGTCACAATGCTGTCTTATTTCCCATGTTTATAATAATTGATAGTTACACCATTACATGAATAACCAAATAAGAGAAGCCTCTAAATGTCCTACTGGAGATTTTTAAAAAAAATCTAATCAAAGAAGATTTCAAGAAGATGTTGAACATTTAAACTTATTTCATATTGTTTTTGCTGTGTCAGGCATTGTGTATGTCTTTCTACAATACAGTCACCTGTGCACAGCTGAGAAAAGAAGACTTTTCATTAAATAACTCTGGGTAAAACTTCAAATCATCAGAGTAGATTACTGTTGAATTTAAGTTACAGGATCTCGGAAAGAGCAATGCATTGTTTCTATTGTTTTGTAATGTGAATCTTAAGTGGGTACTCTTTATATTCTTTTTTTACTGTTTATACTGTTAGACTGTTTATGTCTACATCATTTTTATTTCTAGACAAGTGTAGCCTGTAAAAAGATTTGAATCTTACTGAGACTTTTTTTTTTTTTAAATCAGGTTAAATAGGGGAAGAGAAGAAGTAACATTTCTAAAACAGTGGCACAGGTTTCTGGATGTGCTATGTCTTTAATGAGAGTAAGAACCATTCAGGCCTAAATCTGCTTTTCTGGTTGTTGTCCACAGTGTGTGTGTGTGTGTGTGTGTGTGTGTGTGTGAGCCTGTGTTCCTGTGCGTGCGTGTATGTGTGTGTGTGTGTGTGTGTGTGTCTGTGCGCACGTGCATTGTCTTATGAGCTCTCCTCGCCCCATTGAACAACAGTGATGAAATGGAGATGAGTTAAAGTGCTGACACAAAGACTGACCAGACCCCTGCGTCGCTGCAACAATGAAACCACCAAACGCGAGAAAGTGAGAGCCTCTTGGAAAAACAGAGAGAAAGAGCAGAGAATGAGAGGGGGGAGAAATTAAGGAGGCCGACTTAAAAAAAAGAAAAAAAAAGAGAAGAGAAGAAGGGCTGAACCATCCTGAGAGCAGGAGGAAATGGATGGTGGGCAGCGGTAGCAGAATAGAGAACAACCCGGAGAAAATAGCAAGGTAGCTAATCCCTCCAGAGACATAAAGCAGCTATATGTAAATGAAAGACGTGAAGTTTGGCCATCTTACTTTGATCTATGAATCAGGCTCTCCTTCCCTCCCCCCTCTCTCCTCCTTCACTCTCACCCTCTTCTCCTTCCTCCTTTTTCCTTGTAAGAAAATCAAGCCTTATTTGGCTTAATCTCACTTAATGGCATCCAGCTCCTCTTTTGTCCTCCCTGATGCTAACAGATTCCCTTCCTTTCACTCACCACTATTCACATATCTACCCTCTATAATCCTCTTATTCCGGGGTAGCAATTATTTTGAGTATTTTATCAGCATTATGATTATGATTATTTTCATTATTATTATTCATGCAGGCTGTGCTAAGGGCCAGGTTGTGGCTGAGAATATCCTCCCTCCTACCAGCGCCTCTTATTCTCACTCAGAATGAGGCTGCCTGCTTTCTTCCAGAGGGGTGGCGAGTTTGCAGGAGTGAACCCCATTCAGGGAGACACATTTTCTGGGCGTTTGAACATATTGTGGAGTGAGTGTAATGAGTAGCACCAAATCACCCGTCCTGGCTCCTTAACACAGAGAAACATCAAGAATTTGAGGATGGAGGAGAAAGAGGGGGCTAATAATCAAAAGGCCTCCTTTCTGCAGAGCAGTAATTACACGGGTGGGTTTTGATCTTTTGCTTGTTGGAGCAATGAATGGGGGGGAACAGATGAGGACTGTTTCACTATTTTGAGGAGGGTTTTACGAAGCCTTTCAGCTCAGCATCTTGTCAGAGTCTGAAGTATATCAGAAATTATAACGGTGAAGATCCAATGAAGGTGGAACGGTGCGAGGAAAAGTTTGGCCCTGTTGATTTTCTACGAGTGAATCCTTTCTCAGCACTTTGTGGGACAGAACGTAATGCAGGATTTAACAGTGGCATGAGAAAAGCTAGGGGTTGAAGAAACTTTATGCAAAGTTTTCCTGAAAAATCCAAAGTTAGCAAAGAAGTTTAATCTTTACCTGTTGGATGCAAAGATCATTACTCCATTATTCTTGGTTCCACTAAAACATCAAAAAACATGAATGGGATCTGGCTCAAAGTCACATATCTTGCTGGAGAAAGACAAGTGCTTGCTTCATTATGTAATGCGAGGATATCTCACATTTCCTCTCTGATGACAACTTAAACTACATGTCCCAGTTTCATATTTCATATGAACTGTATACAGTATGAAATCTCATTTTCACAGTTATTGTTATTGGGTTTGGTTGCAGTCCTGTGTGTCTGTACACTTTTATAACATTGCCTGTGTCCCGATTTCATATTAGTTTGACAGTATCTTCTAATTTTTGTTTATTTCTGTTTTGTTGATTGACAGTGGTGTTCAGCCCTGATTACAGCAAACACAGAAACATTAATACAGAAATCAAGAAATAAACTAAATTGTTCAAACGTTTGGAGAAAATTATGTATTCATGTGTGACTCTGTTGCTCATAGGAAGCAGACCGAGAAATGGGTTTTCAGAGCCTTCAACTGGCAATATTTTTATTTCATAAAAGCCCTTTATTCGGACCCTCTCCAGCACCGGGCCCTAAAATTGTCACAAACTTTCAGTCAGCAAGCTACAGTACAACACTGCAGTCATATGCACCGTGCACACAGCCATTAGTGTACATTTAATATGCAACAAACTCCAAAGTAGTTCATTATTTCTCTGTTTGTGACATAAGAAATGTGATAAAATGTATTGCAACTCGGAAACAAAATGAGCATTATTAGATTTAAAGAGCCTGTCTTGTCAAATACAGAATAGTTGTGTATATGTTTAGAAGATCAAGGGTAATTGTGAGTATATAGTGTAGTAAAATAATATAAACATGTTAAAAATGTTAGAAAAATAACAATTCATATAAAAAATGTTTCATACATGTAACAGTCATCAAGTCCATTCTTCTTCTTCAACTTCAAGGTGTCACTTTGGGAATCTGGGAACCGGAGTGGAATGGCTGAATCTGGGCAGTCTGCAGACTCCACAGGGGCACAGGGGCCCGCCTGAGGCCCCTGCAGAGCTCCACTGCACTGGGGCGAGCGAGGCCTCCATGGGGCCCGGAGACAGCAGGGGACATTTAGCTGCAGAAGATGATGAAGTGGAGGAGGAAGAGGATGAGGAGGAGGAGGCTGCTGAGGTGAGGAGGGATTCCTGGGTGAGGAGGAGCTGACCGGGACCGGAGATGAGGGGCCACCCTCCAGTGAGCAGCAGCCGAGGGACCGGCCCTGTGTTCACCCCCATCCCGATGCTCACCTCCCCCAGCAGCCGCCGCATCTCCTGCAGAGACGAACCCAGGAGGAGGATGTAGTTCCTGGCCAGGACCAGGGTGGAGATCTTTGAGAGCCGGCGGCCCGGAGGAGCACCGGGCTGGTGCGACTGAGAGGAGGAGGCGGAAGAAGGTGAGGAGGCGTAAGGCACCATGACCTCCCTCAGGGCATCCATGGCAATGTTCAAGTCCTGCATCCGCTTCCTCTCTCTGCTGTTGATCTTCCTCCTGAGCTCCTGCTGCTCCTCGGGGCTCAGCTCCCTCTGAGGTTTGGTCGATCTTTGGCCGCTCTGGAGGCCGAGCATTGGTGCAGGGTGGAGGCGAGAGCTCAGGTTGAACCCTGGAGGGCAGTGAGGTAAGTCCTGGACAGACCCGGGGCCACAGAGAGGTAGAGACTGCTCCTGGGCCCTGATCACTGGGTTTGACAGCACGTTCATAGTCTCCTCGGAGGTGTGCCAGTCTTCAGAGTTGAAGTTCAGTGTAGTCTTCTTCAGCAAAAGGTGACGTTTGAGAGACAATGCAAAAATAGTCTGTCAGTCAAAACAAAAAAGCTTAAAAAATCCACAAACTGCAAACATGTGCTCCCTCCACCTGTTGCTCTCCCCTTTGCTTGCAGAAAACAGATGCCATCCAGCACAATGACGAGTCACCAAACGTTTTTACTTTTGGCTTCAGAGGTTTCTGGCAGCACAAGTGAGTGAGTGAGTGAGTGAGAGCTTCCTAAAGTGGCAGCTCAGTTTTATCTCATTTCCACAGCTGCGTGTGGGGAGAATGACAGCTCACACAGTGGAAAAGTGAGCTAAATGCTCCCCTCACTTACCCCCACCTCAGCTCAACTCCTCCCCAGCACATGATGTGCTCTTTAGAAACGCACACATGCACGTCTGACTTTTTGATATTTGACAGTGAAATGAGAAACAACTGGTAGATGGTGACAACACCAGCAGAATCCCATTGAAAACTGGGACAATTTAAGGCAAAATATTAGAAAAACAAAATTCAGTGCATTATTTAATTAATCCAAAGTCTATATTCTCATTGAGACATGTTTAAAGAGTCTGTGCACAAGATTATATGAAAGGATTAGACAATCAGGCACAATTCAAACACTCCACTAACATTTGCTGTTGAGAGTTAAGACCATAATGTTTTGGAAGTTATTTGTGTTTTTGTATTATTCCATGTGTAAAGCTGTTTTTACCAAATTTATATTAAACATGAGCACAACTAAAGTTCCCCCGACATTTACTGTGTTTTTTTCATGTGGTAAGATCAGATCTTTTTTTTCAGACTAAAACTTATGTATCACTGCATAGTTTCTTTGTGCTGCTGTTAGCCCTGATGTTCCTGTAAAGGAAGTTCTTACAGTGAGGCACTGTCCTCATGAAGTTGCCAATATAAAACAAATACACAATACACTCAAAAAGAGCAAGTTGCTTTTAGTTGTTTAGCATTTTTAAGTTGGAACAACTTCATACAATAAGGTAAACACAACTAAAGCAGATATAAAGTCAACAGAACTTAAGACTAATAGTTATATTTATGTAGCTTTTTCAAAGAAATCGGTTTCCTAGATTTTTTTTTAAGTAAAATCAACTCAGATTTTACAGTGATAAATTAGAGAAACTGCCATAATTCAAACGTAAAATGAACATACGCTGTTGACCATGAGGTAATGATCCCTTCCCTACATTTCATACTGGAAGAAAAATTCAGATGAATTCAATCAGGAGTGACAGGAACTTCTCAATATAGGAGGTGAGTTTTTGCACGAAAAGTTAGTGAATAAGGATAAATAAGTACATTGTCATAGCTCTGACAAGTTCAACCTGTTTAACTGTGACATTCTTTTGCACAAATTTTCATGGTAATGTTGGTCAGAATTTACTAATCTAATCTACTGGATGGCTGTGAACGTTTGTACAGAAAGTCGGAAGGACGGATCCCGAAGAGTTTGGTGATTCCTGACTGATGTTTTCAGTTTGTAAAAACCTTTAGTTTTATGACCAAGTTCCTGAAATATTTCCATCATTTTCCACCTCTATTTTACTTTCTGTTTAGTGCTATTTAGCAAATGTTAATCTGCTCAAATAAGATAGTAGATATGGTGACAATTAGCTGCTAAACATCAGCATGTTAGCATCGTCTTTGCAGGCATGCTAGCATGCTGCAGTTAGCAATTAGCCTCAAAGCACTGCTGTGCCTAAATAAAGCCTCACAGAGCCAACAGTGTCAGCATTGTTTTTTTCTTGTTCTTTATGTGAAGTTAATTGAAAGCACACACATTGTCAGCTTAATGGAATTTACCACCTCAGCCATTTAACAACTTGGAAGCCATTAAAATCTTCAGTACTTTGTTATGTGCCAGAGAGCAGGTATTAGCAGTATTAACATAGGTATTAATTGTGTCAGAGAACAGTTTTGGCAAACAGTCAATGGACACATCATTGTGTGTGGGGAGTTAATTGATGGTTTTGAGGTGGAGGTTATTGTTGCTCAGTTCTGAGCGGCTACGCTAACCAAATTGGCTGGCAGAGAGCTGGGCACGGTTCCAGGCAGCCAGACAACAGGCCAATTGACTCCAACCACAGGTGAAGCTGGCTTGGGGCACCGAGCAAGGCTGGAAACCTCAGATGTGCCATTCATGAGCCACAAAAAGACCTCAGCATCACTCCGTTACACAGTGAGCCTGGCCGTCCTCTCTTTGCACTCCCTCCCCCTCCTCCTCCTTGTAAAGCCCATCTGAGTGGGAGAAAAGGAAGGCAGGGGGAAGAGGGGAAGGACAGCACCGTTACACACAGAAAGCAAGTTGTTCACGATGAAAGCAGAAGGAGATGCAGAGGAGGAAGACCCTTTCTTTCTTCCCCAGCCGCTCTTCTCTTGTCGTTCAACAAGTGAAAGATGTATGTGGAGGCGCTTCCCTTCCCCGCCAGTGGTCCGGTGGCGTCCGGCTGGTGCTGTGATTGAAGCTGAATGGACAGACTCCAGACGGACAGGAAAGGGAGGGCCCCAATGAAAAGGGCCAGGCGGATGGCCCTCGCACCTGCAGGAGAACAGAGTGCAGGCAGCCAGGATGAATGTGTGTGTGTGTGTGTGTGTGTGTGTGTGTGTGTGTGTGTGTGTGTGTGTGTGTGTGTGTGTGTTTGTGTGCGTGCCTGTGAGCTCAATTTGATTTCTAGTGCCTGTCTAACAATGAGAGGTAATAAACGGAGTAATGAAAGAAAACGAGCCATGATGCTTTAGACTGTATTTTGGGATGTGGTCTCTGTGTCAAGAGAAATAAAAAAGGACACCTGCAAGGAGCCACACATACAGAAGTCAGAAAGGAGGAGAAAGAAAGAAGCTGGTGTCTACTAGAAAAGTGCACCTCCCCCACTTTTTTTATCCACAAGGGAAAGAAAAGTGAGCTTGATTTGGGGCTGCAGCCCAGCATATCCGCCTCCCAGCTTCCAGGCTCCTTTTGATGAGGCTGGACCAGGGCAGGAGCACCGGTGGCTTCAGGGCAGGGGGAAGACTAGTGTCTTTATGGTGGAAGGAGAACTATCCATCTGGGCAAGGCCGTCTAATGGTGGGTCTGCACCTGGGAACTAAATGCCTCGTCTGTGTGGAGCCACTTCCTGCGGCTGACAGACAGGAAGACACCTCGGCCAAACCTCCTGGGTCAATTTATCCTCCAATACAACATGATAAATACACCCAAAGTGATACCACTGGAAAGAAAATGGTTATGAATTCTTTTCTGGGTGCTTCTGCAAATCTAAGAACTCACACACCAGAAGATAATAAGATCCAAGACACTACATGTACAAAAGGACTGAAATAAATATAAGTTTTAAAAGTTTATTTTCTACTTGCTTTATCTTTTTTTCCTCGTGTGATTTCTTGGTGCTGTTCATATGGTTTTCAACCCACATATCTTCAGTATCGGTTGAACTTACTGTTTTGAGTTTCTTAAATTGATTTCAACAGATTAATTGTAGATTTTTTAGACGAGGTTTCGCAACTTTAATCGAGGAATTGTAGGAATTGAAGTGATAATTGTAAAAAATGCAAATGGGGTTCTGATGAATCACCATATTCACGCCAAATACTTACAAACACAAAACAAAACAAAAAACAATTGTATGTTATAATTGGTACCAATTAAGCTCAAATGTTCTCAGTTACAGAATTGATACACACAGCTGGAAAGCATATGGTGTTGTTTGCTTTCTGGAACAATGGATCAATTCTGAAATACATGTCTTTTGGGTGTGGAAAACTGAACATACACCTGATGGAACATATTCATAGAGATGGGCAACTACAAATAACCAAATGGGGGTACTGCAAATTGAAAACTGTCCTATTTTATGGTGAACAAGCTTTTATTTATTTATTAATTCTTTTGTTTTGGGTTGTTGCTTTGTGTATATTTGGGCATACATATAGCCTGCTTAAACAAACAGACAATGAATATAGTTGTTTTGTTTTTTGTTTTTTTTTTTATAAATCATTGAATTTCAAATAATTTGTAAATAGAAAAATGGATTAAAAAATATTAACCTGGATAGTCTATTATTGATTTTTTTTTTTTAATATAACTAATTAATTCACATATTATTTTGAGGAGAAAAATAAAAAACTGAAAAAACTGAAGCAACAGTCTGGACCACCCACAGGTAATTGGATTTTTTTCTTAAAGAGCAGAATAGACATTTCCTCGCTGAAAGACACCACAAAACAACCTCGACTGGCTCATTAATTGAGTACAAATTGGTATAATTATATACCCACCTCACTTGATATAAAGAGACAGGTTCACAAATGAAGTCAAGCCACGGGCTGGCTGCTGCTGGTCCGCGCACAATCTTGACTTAATGGAGTCAATTTACATCAGGTGTCTGATTGAGCTCTTTTGTGCGTCACTTTTATGGTGTGTCGATGTGTTTTTTTGCCTCAGTGGGAGGATTTGTAATGTTTGTTAATATCTGAAAGAGGCGATCTAATTCCTCAAATTGGCACAATTACACAGCTATTTTTCTGTGTCCTCGTCTGTTTGTCACCGACTGTCTCTCTAGTTGTGAAAAAAGCTCCTGAATATGACAATTATTTAAATCATACCTCAGATATAGTAGTTTAAAATGATTATGAAGAGGTAGTTCTTTAAAAAATTCTTTTAAAAATGAGGATTAAAATGTTGTTTTAAATACAGGTGATTGATAAGTCACATAACTGGTTTATGTAAATAAAGCAGCCAAAAACAACTTAGATACCCTGATGAGGGCAAAAACTTTTGGGGTAAAAGTGGAGACATGTTGTGAAACTTTCTCTGTGGAGTAGGTGACTTTCTGTGAAGCATTTTTCTGTGAGTGGGTGCCAGTTTTGTTTATCTCATGCACACACGGGGAGACACACACACGCTCCTGCACACGTGTGACGCCATAAAAGAAATCCTGCCAATGTCGTCACACTGCTCCACCGGTTTATCCAGTCATGCACCTCACAAGTACTGCTGTCCTAGCTCTATCTTTACTTCATCTACTTAATTTGACTTCTTCTTGATTTGAAAT